GTGTTGTTTAGGTTTTTCGGTTTTTGGTGTTTTTTCGGTTTTTAGTGGTTTTGGGGTATTTTTTCAGTTTTTTTCTTTTCGGTTTTTAGTGTTTTTTGGGTATTTTTTCAGTTTTTAGTTTTTTGGGTTCTTTTCGGTTTTTACGGATATTTCCGTTTTTTCGTGTTTTTTTTTTTTCGGTTTTTAGTGGTTTGGGGGTATTTTCGTTTGTATTTAGTGGTTTTGGGTTATTTTTTCCAGTTTTTAGTGAGGTTTTTTCGGTTTTTCGTGTTTTTTTCGTTTTTAGTGTTTTTGGGGTTTTTTCGGTTTTTGGGTAATCTCTGTATTTAGTGGTTTTTGGGTATTTTTTCAGTTTTTAGTGGTTTGGGGGTATTTTCGAAAAAAAAACACTAAAAACTAAAAGAAAACACGAAGAACTGAAAAAAATACCCCCAAACCACTAAAAACTGAAAAAATACCCCTCAACCAAAAAAATGAAAAAATACCCCAAAACCACTAAAAACCGAATAAATACCCAAACAAGTATAACCCGTAAAAACAAAGTTTTTACCTCTAAATCCTTTATATGCGTGGCGGCTAGAGTCCTCTCGTCCTCTGGCTTGAGATGGCTGCCACCTATGGGTCAGATGATTGTCTGCAGTATTAAACAATTGGTAATTAAATATTAAATTTGTTTTCCCTAAACAGTGTACAATTTTGGAAAAAAATTTACACGAACATTGTCTCGCACAACGAGTCTGTGTGGAAAATGTCAGCTCGATTGGATCACGGGAAGTGGGTTAAAAAACGACCGAAAGATTTGCACGGTCGTAAGCGCGCAAGCACGCAAGCAAGCGAACTTAATATAAAGGATTTAAAAACCCCAAAAACACTCAAAACCGAAAAATATAAAAAAACATAAAAACCGCGCACACTCACGCGCACACTCACTCTGAATTGCATTCGTACAAAACCTGGAGGAGTGGGCTGATGCCGGGGTGAGGCTCTAGGGGAGGGAGCGGGCGGTTGCTTCGCAGGGCTGCGGAGAGAGAGGGTTGCCACCCGTGGCTTGGCACATGTTCACGAACCTCTCCCGGTAAGCTGAGCGCTTGCTGTGCATTTGGAGTTTGCGGTGTCTCTCTCGCTCCCTACCAGAGGTCGCAAACGGGTTTGATTCCTTACCTGTACCCTACCCGTACCCTACCCGTACCCTACCCGTACCCTACCCGTACCCGGCCGTACCTACCCGTACCCTACCCTACCCTACCCGTACCATACCCTACCCGTACCCTACCCGTACCCTACCCGTACCCGGCCGTACCCGTACCCTACCCGTACCCGGCCTACCCGTACCGGCCGTACCCGTACCCTACCCGTACCCTACCCGTACCAGTACCCTACCCGTACCCTACCCGTACCCGGCCGTACCCGTACCTACCCGTACCCTACCACCCGTACCCTACCCCGTACCCGTACCCTACCCGTACCCTACCCGTACCTACCCGTACCCGGCCGTACCCGTACCCTACCTGTACCCGGCCGTACCCGTACCCTACCCGTACCCTACCCTACCCTACCCGTACCCGGCCGTACCCGTACCCTACCCGTACCCTACCCGTACCCGTACCCTACCCGTACCCGGCCGTACCCGTACCCTACCCTACCCTACCACCTACCCGTACCTACCCTACCCTACCGTACCCATACCCTACCCTACCCTACCCGTACCCTACCCGTACCCGGCCGTACCCGTACCCTACCCTACCCGCCCTACCCTACCCGGCCGTACCCGTACCCTACCCGTACCCTACCCTACCCGTACCCTACCCTACCCTACCCGTACCCCCGTACCCGTACCCTACCCGTACCCTACCCGTACCCTACCCTACCCGTACCCTACCCGTACCCTACCCGTACCCTACCCTACCCGGCCATACCCGTACCCTACCCGTACCCGGCCGTACCCGTACCCTACCCGTACCCTACCCGTACCCTACCCGTACCCGTACCCGTACCGTACCCTAACCTCCCGTACCCTACCCGTACCCGTACCCTACCCGTACCCGGCCGTACCCGTACCCTACCCGTACCCTACCCGTACCCTACCCGTACCCTACCCGTACCCTACCCGTACCCTACCCGTACCCGGCCGTACCCTACCCGTACCCTACCCGTACCCTACCCGTACCCATACCCTACCCGTACCCTACCCGTACCCTACCCGTACCCGGCCGTACCCGTACCCTACCGTACCCGGCCCTACCCGTACCCGGCCGTACCCGTACCCTACCCGTACCCTACTCGTACCCGTACCCTACCCGTACCCTACCCGTACCCGGCCGTACCCGTACCCTACCCGTACCCTACCCGTACCCTACCCGTACCCGTACCCTACCCGTACCCTACCCGTACCCTACCCGTACCCGGCCGTACCCGTACCCTACCCGTACCCGGCCGTACCCGTACCCTACCCGTACCCTACCCGTACCCTACCCGTACCCGGCCGTACCCGACCCGTACCTACCCGTACCCTACCCGTACCGTACCCTACACTACCCGGCCGTACCCTGTACCCTACCCGTACCCTACCGTACCCGTACCCTACCCGTACCCCGGCCGTACCCGTACCCTACCTGTACCCGTACCCTTACCCGTACCCGTACCCTACCCGTACCGGCCGTACCCGTACCCCTACCCTACCCTACCCGTACCTAACCCGTACCCGTACCTACCCGTACCCTACCCGTACCCGGCCGTACCCATACCCTACCCGTACCCTACCCGTACCCTACCCGTACCCTACCCGTACCCGGCCCTACTCGTACCCTACCCATACCTACCCGTACCCTACCCGTACCCTACCCGTACCCTACCCGTACCCGGCCGTACCCGTTACCCTACCTGATACCCGTAACCCTACCGTACCCTACCCGCACCCGTACCCTACCCGTATCCGTCCGTAACCCGTACTCCTACCCGTACCCTACCCGTACCCGTACCCTACCCTACCCGTACCCTACCCGTACCCGTACCCTACCCGTACCAGCCGTACCCTACCCGTACCCGTACCCTACCCGTACCCGGCCGTACCCGTACCCTACCCGTACCCTACCCGTACCCGGCCAGGTACGGGTAGGGTACGGGTATCGGGTACCCGATTGCGACCTCTGGGATGAAGCCACGTTGCAGGCGCGGGTGGGTTGATTCTAGGAACTTGAATTGTGAGAAGAGACAAGACGTTGGGAAATGAGTGACAAACGGTGACTCACCAGTGACTCACGGCCTACCCGTACCCGTACCCGGCCGCACCAGGGTCGCAAACGGGTACCCGTACCCGGCTGGGTACGTGGTGGTGATATCGGTCACGTGGTGGTGATATCGGTCACGTGGTTTAATAGAAAAATAAGAATACGAATAAACTCTCCCGACCCTGACGACGCCTGCTGCTGCTGCTGTATGTTTGGAGTCTGCGTCTCTCTCTTCGTGGTGAGATGTTGACTACCTCGCCTGGCACCTGCTGGGTCTGCCCCGTGACCTCCTGCCAGCGGGCGTTCGACACTTCACGTGGTAGCCTCAAGGTGCACTTGGCCTGGCACAAGTGTCGTGGTGACGTCACCGCCACTTAGTGGCGAATGGCGGTTGTTGTTGTTGTGTGTGTGTGTGGGTGAGTGTGTGTGAGTAGGTGTCTGTGTGAGTGTGTGTGAGTGTGTGGTGTGTGTGAGTGTGTGTGGTGTGTGAGTGAGTGTGTGTGTGAGTATGTGAGTGGGTGTGTGTGAGTGTCTGTGTGAGTGAGCGTGGTGTGTGTGAGTGGGTGTCTGTGTGTGTGTGGTGTGTGTGAGTGTGTGAGTGTGTGTAGTGTGTGTGAGAGTGTGTGTGAGTGTCTGTGTGAGTGAGCGTGGTGTGTGTGTGAGTGAGTGTGTGTCTGTGTGAGTGTGTGTGAGTGGGTGTCTGTGTGTGTGTCTGTGTGAGTGTGTGTGAGTGTGTGGTGTGTGTGAGTGTGTGTGGTGTGTGAGTGAGTGTGTGTGTGAGTATGTGAGTGGGTGTGTGTGAGTGTCTGTGTGAGTGTCTGTGTGTGAGTGGGTGTCTGTGTGTGTGTGTGAGTGTCTGTGTGTCTGTGTGTGTGTGTGAGTGTGTGTGTGTCTGTGTGAGTGTGTGTGTGGTGTGTGTGTGTCTGTGTGAGTGTGTGTGTCTGTGTGAGTGTGTGTGTGAGTGAGTGTGTGTCTGTGTGAGTGTGTGTGTGAGTGTGTGTGTGTCTGTGTGAGTGTGTGTGTGAGTGTGTGTGTGTCTGTGTGAGTGTGTGTGTGGTGTGTGTGGTGTGTGTGAGAGTGTGTGTGAGTGTGTGTGTGTCTGTGTGAGTGTGTGTGTGTCTGTGTGAGTGTGTGTGTGAGTGTGTGTGTGTCTGTGTGAGTGTGTGTGAGTGTGTGTGGTGTGTGTGAGAGTGTGTGTGAGTGTGTGTGTGTCTGTGTGAGTGTGTGTGTGTCTGTGTGAGTGTGTGTGTGAGTGTGTGTGTGTCTGTGTGAGTGTGTGTGAGTGTGTGTGGTGTGTGTGAGAGTGTGTGTGAGTGTCTGTGTTTGTGTGAGTGTCTGTGTGAGTGTAGGTGAGTACGTGAGTGTGTGTGTGAGTGAGTGGGTGTCTGTGTGTCTGTGTGAGTGTGAGTGGGTGAGTGTGAGTGGGTGTGTGTGAGTGAGTGTCTGTGAGTGAGTGTGTGAGTGTGTGTGGTGTGTGAGTGAGTGTGTGTGTGTGAGTGTGTGTGGTGTGTGTGTGTGAGTGAGAGTGTGAGTGAGTGTCTGTGTGTGTGAGTGAGTATGTGAGTGGGTGTGTGTGAGTGTGTGTCTGTGTGAGTGTGTGTGAGTGGGTGTGTGTGTGTCTGTGTGAGTGAGCGTGGCGTGTGTGTGAGTGAGTGTGTGTCTGTGTGAGTGAGTGTCTGTGTGAGTGTGTGTCTGTGTGAGTGAGTGTCTGTGTGTCTGTGTGAGTGTGTGTCTGTGTGAGTGTGTGTGTGGTGAGTGTGTGTCTGTGTGAGTGGGTGTCTGTGTGTCTGTGTGAGTGTGTGTCTGTGTGAGAATGTGAGTGTGTGTGTGGTGTGTGTGTGTGGTGTGTGTGTGAGTGTGTGTGTGGTGTGTGTGTGTGAGTGGGTGTGTCTCTAACGCTGTGTGGAAGCTTCCTGGTCTGTCCATCCACACTCCCATCCCCCTTCTTCACGCTTGCGACACGTGAGCCCCTTTAAATGCACATCTGTGCCCGGTTAGAAACATTCAGGCTGGACCTGCCAACGATCCATCCATCCTGGGTTTCACCTGCAGGCTGGATTGTTTGCGAGGAGCTCTCAAAATCCTTGAAAGATCTGGACAAAGTCCCATCGGTGAGCTCCTCCGGCAGGCGAGGCTGCGTTGGCTGGGTCATGTAGCCCGCATGGCACAGCAAGTCACCGCATGGCAAGGCAGCTGCTGTTTGGCTGCATGGAGGGGGCTAAACGGGCGCGGCACGGGCTGGAGAAGAGATGGAGCTGATGGGTGAGTGGGTGGCTGAGTCGGTGGGTGAGTGGGTGAGTGAGTGGGTGAGTGAGTGAGTGAGTGGGTGAGTGAGTGGGTGAGTGAGTGGGTGAGTGTGTGAGTGAGTTAGTGAGTCGGTGAGTGAGTGAGTCGGTGAGTGAGCGATTGGGTGACTGAGTGGGTGACTGGGTGAGTGAGCAGGTGAGTGAGTGTGTGAGTGAGTGACTGGGTGAGTAAGTCGGTGAGTGAGTGAGTGAGCGAGTGTGTGAGTGAGTGGGTGAGTGAGTCGGTGAGTGAGTGAGTGAGCGAGTGTGTGAGTGAGTCGGTGAGTGAGCGAGTGTGTGAGTGAGTGGGTGAGTGAGTGGGTGAGTGAGTCGGTGAGTGAGTGAGTGAGTGGGTGAGTGAGTCGGTGAGTGAGTGAGTCGGTGAGTGAGTGAGTGAGTCGGTGAGTGAGCAGGTGAGTGAGCGGGTGAGTGAGTGGGTGAGTGAGTAGGTGAGTGAGTGAGCGGGTGAGTGAGTGGGTGAGTGAGTGGGTGCGTGAGTGGGTGAGTGAGTGGGTGAGTGAGTCGGTGAGTGGGTGAGTGAGTCGGTGAGTAGGTGAGTGAGTGGGTGCGTGAGTGAGTGAGTGGGTGAGTCGGTGAGTGAGTGAGTGGGTGAGTGAGTTACTGAGTGAGTGAGCGAGTGTGTGAGTGAGTGGGTGAGTGAGTGGGTGAGTGAGTCGGTGAGTGGGTGAGTGAGTGGGTGCGTGAGTGGGTGAGTGAGTGAGTGGGTGAGTGAGTCGGTGAGTGAGTGGGTGAGTGAGTTACTGAGTGAGTGAGTGCGTAAGTGGGTGAGTGTGTGGGCGAGTGAGCGAGTGGGTGAGTGGGCGAGCGAGTGGGTGGGTGAGCGATTGAGTGAGTGGGTGAGTGAGTGAGTGGGTGAGTGCCAGGCTAGGTGCACTGTGAGAGCAACGGTCACAACAACGAGCAGAGCGCCGGGCAGATAAAACGCAGCAAGTTGGTACAGGAGGGAAGAGGGCACATGGCACCTGCAGGGTTTGTCACGTGACCTCCTCCTCATGCACCTAGCCTGGCACAGCAGTGCAACCCATGGCACCTGCAGGGTCTGTCACGTGACCTCCTCATGCACCTAGCCTGGCACAGCAGTGCAACCCATGGCACCTGCAGGGTCTGTCACGTGACCTCCTCATGCACCTAGCCTGGCACAGCAGCACAACCCATGGCACCTGCAGGGTCTGTCACGTGACCTCATGCACCTAGCCTGGCACAGTAGCACAACCCATGGCACCTGCAGGGTCTGTCACGTGACCTCCTCATGCACCTAGCCTGGCACAGCAGTGCAACCCATGGCACCTGCAGGGTCTGTCACGTGACCTCCTCGTGCACCTAGCCTGGCACAGCAGCGCAACCCATGGCACCTGCAGGGTCTGTCACGTGACCACCTCCTCGTGCACCTAGCCTGGCACAACCCATGGCACCTGCAGGGTCTGTCACGTGACCTCTTCCTCGTGCACCTAGCCTGGCACAACCCATGGCACCTGCAGGGTCTGTCACGTGACCTCTTCCTCGTGCACCTAGCCTGGCACAACCCATGGCACCTGCAGGGTCTGTCACGTGACCTCCTCCTCGTGCACCTAGCCTGGCACAAGCGCCGTGGTGACGTCACCGCCACTGAGTGTTGCCCTCCCCTGGGTCGACTCAGCCTTAAAAAAAACGAGTAGATTGTTGAGTTGATGGACACTGCTGCTGCTGCTGCTGCTATTAGCAGCACTTGCCCCTGCAGCCCAGCTGGAGGCTACCCAGGGGACCTTAAACTTTGTGGCGTGCTTCAGAGAGTCAGGGCCACACCCTGGGTGTTGTGAAACGTCACTCTACCACCACTGTACCATCACCACCACTGTACCATCACCACCACCACTGTACCACCATCACCATCACCACCATCACAATCACTGTACCACTACTGTACCATCACCACCACTGTACCACTGTACCATCACCACTACCACTGTACCATCACCACTACCACTGTACCATCACTGTACCTTCACCACTACCACTGTACCACCACTGTACCATCACCACCACTGTACCATCACTGTACCATCACCACTACCACTGTACCACCACTGTACCATCACCACCACTGTACCACCACTGTACCATCACCACTACCACTGTACCATCACCACCACCACTGTACCACCACTGTACCATCACCACCACTACTGTACCACCACTGTACCATCACCACTACCACTGTACCATCACCACCACCACTGTACCACCACTGTACCATCACTGTACCTTCACCACTACCACTGTACCACCACTGTACCATCACCACTACTGTACCACCACTGTACCATCACTGTACCATCACCACCACTGTACCACCACTGTACCATCACCACCACCACTGTACCATCACCACTACCACTGTACCATCACCACCACCACTGTACCACCACTGTACCATCACTACCACCACTGTACCACCATCACCACCACTGTACCATCACGACCACTGTACCACCATCACCACCACTGTGCCATCATCACCATCACCACCACCATCACAAACACCATCACCACCACCACCACAACCATCACCACCACCATCACAAACACCACCACAACCATCACCACCACCATCACCACCATCACAAACACCATCATCACCATCTCAAACACCACCACCATCACCACCACTGTACCATCATCACCACCACCATCACAAACACCACCACCATCACCACCACCATCACAAACACCACCACCATCACCACCATCACCACCATCACAAACACCACCACCATCACCACCATCACCACCACCATCACCACCACCATCACCACCACCACCACCATCACAAACACCATCACCATCACCACCATCACCACCACCATCACCACCACCATCACCACCATCACCACCATCACAAACACCACCACCATCACCACCACCACCATCACCACCATCACCACCATCACAAACACCACCACCATCACCACCATCACCACCACCATCACCACCACCATCACCACCACCATCACCACCACCACCACCACCATCACAAACACCATCACCATCACCACCATCACCACCACCATCACCACCACCATCACCACCATCACCACCATCACAAACACCACCACCATCACCACCACCATCACCACCACCACCATCACCACCATCACAAACACCATCACCATCACCACCACCACCATCACCACCACCATCACCACCATCACAAACACCACCACCATCACAAACACCACCACCATCACCACCATCACCACCACCATCACCACCACCATCACCACCATCACTACCACCATCACCACCACCACCATCACAAACACCACCACCATCACCACCATCACCATCACCACCATCACCACCATCACCACCATCACTACCACCATCACAAACACCACCACCACCACCATCACCACCATCACCATCACTACCACCACCATCACTACGAGCGCGCTCCATACTGGGTGAGTGTGTGTGTTGGTGTGTGTGTAAGTGTGTGTGTGTAAGTGCGTGTGTGTAAGTGCTTGTGTGTAAGTGCGTGTGTGTAAGTGCGTGTGTGTAAGTGTGTGTGTGTAAGTGTGTGTGTGTAAGTGCGTGTGTGTAAGTGCTTGTGTGTAAGTGCGTGTGTGTAAGTGTGTGTGTGTAAGTGCGTGTGTGTAAGTGTGTGTGTCTAAGTGCGTGTGTGTATGTGTGTAAGTGTGTGTGTGTAAGTGTGTGTGTGTAAGTGCGTGTGTGTAAGTGCGTGTGTGTAAGTGCTTGTGTGTATGTGTGTAAGTGTGTGTGTGTAAGTGTGTGTGTGTAAGTGCGTGTGTGTAAGTGCTTGTGTGTAAGTGCGTGTGTGTAAGTGCGTGTGTGTAAGTGTGTTGTGTGTAAGTGCGTGTGTGTAAGTGCGTGTGTGTAAGTGCGTGTGTGTATGTGCGTGTGTGTAAGTGCTTGTGTGTAAGTGCGTGTGTGTGTAAGTGCGTGTGTGTAAGTGCGTGTGTGTAAGTGCTTGTGTGTAAGTGCGTGTGTGTAAGTGCTTGTGTGTAAGTGCGTGTGTGTAAGTGCGTGTGTGTAAGTGCGTGTGTGTAAGTGCGTGTGTGTATGTGCTTGTGTGTAAGTGCGTGTGTGTAAGTGCGTGTGTGTAAGTGCGTGTGTGTAAGTGCTTGTGTGTAAGTGCGTGTGTGTAAGTGCGTGTGTGTAAGTGCGTGTGTGTAAGTGCTTGTGTGTAAGTGCTTGTGTGTAAGTGCGTGTGTGTAAGTGCTTGTGTGTAAGTGCGTGTGTGTGTAAGTGCGTGTGTGTAAGTGCTTGTGTGTAAGTGCGTGTGTGTAAGTGCGTGTGTGTAGTGCGTGTGTGTAAGTGCTTGTGTGTAAGTGCGTGTGTGTAGTGCGTGTGTGTAAGTGCTTGTGTGTAAGTGCGTTGTGTAAGTGCGTGTGTGTAAGTGCTTGTGTGTAAGTGCGTGTGTGTGTAAGTGCGTGTGTGTAAGTGCTTGTGTGTAAGTGCTTGTGTGTAAGTGCGTGTGTGTAAGTGCGTGTGTGTAAGTGCTTGTGTGTAAGTGCTTGTGTGTAAGTGCGTGTGTGTAAGTGCGTGTGTGTAAGGCTGTAAGTGGTGTGTGTAAGTGCGTGTGTGTAAGTGCTTGTGTGTAAGTGCGTGTGTGTAAGTGTGTGTGTGTAAGTGCGTGTGTGTAAGTGCGTGTGTGTAAGTGCTTGTGTGTATGTGTGTAAGTGCGTGTGTGTAAGTGCTTGTGTGTAAGTGCGTGTGTGTGTAAGTGCGTGTGTGTAAGTGCTTGTGTGTAAGTGCGTGTGTGTAAGTGCGTGTGTGTAAGTGCTTGTGTGTAAGTGCGTGTGTGTAAGTGCGTGTGTGTAAGTGCTTGTGTGTAAGTGCGTGTGTGTGTAAGTGCGTGTGTGTAAGTGCTTGTGTGTAAGTGCGTGTGTGTAAGTGCGTGTGTGTAAGTGCGTGTGTGTAAGTGCGTGTGTGTAAGTGCGTGTGTAAGTGCGTGTGTGTAAGTGCGTGTAAGTGCGTGTAAGTGCGTGTGTGTGCGTGTGTGTAAGTGCGTGCGTGTAAGTGCTTGCGTGTAAGTGCGTGCGTGTAAGTGCGTGCGTGTAAGTGCTTGTGTGTAAGTGCGTGTGTGTAAGTGCGTGTGTGTAAGTGCTTGTGTGTAAGTGCGTGTGTGTAAGTGCGTGTGTGTAAGTGCTTGTGTGTAAGTGCGTGTGTGTAAGTGCGTGTGTGTAAGTGCTTGTGTGTAAGTGCGTGTGTGTAAGTGCTTGTGTGTAAGTGCGTGTGTGTAAGTGCTTGTGTGTAAGTGCGTGTGTGTAAGTGCGTGTGTGTAAGTGCGTGTGTGTAAGTGCTTGTGTGTATGTGCGTGTGTGTATGTGCGTGTGTGTAAGTGCGTGTGTGTAAGTGCGTGTGTGAAAGTGCGTGTGTGTAAGTGCGTGTGTGTAAGTGCGTGTGTGTAAGTGCGTGTGGGTATGTGCTTGTGTGTAAGTGCTTGTGTGTATGTGTGTAAGTGCGTGTGTGTAAGTGCGTGTGTGTAAGTGCGTGTGTGTATGTGCGTGTGTGTAAGTGCGTGTGTGTAAGTGCGTGTGTGTAAGTGCGTGTGTGTATGTGCGTGTGTGTAAGTGCGTGTGTGTAAGTGCGTGTGTGTGTAAGTGCGTGTGTGTAAGTGCGTGTGTGTAAGTGCGTGTGTGTACCGGCAAAAACAACCCCCTACCTCCCCGTAGTGCCGGACGGGCAACATTATCGTGGACATTGCTGTGGGGGGAGGGCCAATTCCGATTGGCCTCTCCCCTCATGGCGTCCTGTGACCACCACAGCGGCTAAACGGAGGCTCTGGACGGGTGCGAGGGGCTGGTAACCCCTCCACCTTCAATAAATTACCACTAAACGACGTGGAAAATATCTAAATAATAATACATGCCGGGTCCAAGCAAGAACATCTGCTGGACTACGCAGTGACGGACCAGCGGATGCGAGCCCATGTCCTTGACACCCCAGGACCTACGGTGGAGCTGATCTGCCCTCTGACCATCGACTTGTCATCTGTAAGATGCGCCTGCCATTCTTCCACTCCGGTGGTGGGTGTCCACCCAGGACCCCATTCCAACCTAAAGTGGCCTGGTCTCAGCTGATGGAAGTTGCAAGCGAGAATTTAATCATCGCTTGTGGCTGGGGTTGGCATCGTCCCCCACTCCCACAGATGTCGAGGGTAAATGGGCGAGGTTTAGGACTGTGACTCATTCAGCTGCAATGGCTGCTTTGGGTACGTGGTCCAGACCTCCCCAGAGACCCTGGCTGACAGAGGAGGTGTTCAGGATAGTTGAGAAAAAGCGACAGGCCCACTCTCATCGCCTACAGCATCCACGTCAGGGAATGAGGAGGCTTACCGCAGCCTTCGCTCGGAGGTTCGGAGAGCCGTGAGGCGCTGCAAGGATGGGTGGTGGTCGCGGGTTGCTGAGGAGATGGAGTCTGCCTCAGTGGCCCGCGATCACAAATCACTTTTTAACTCCATCAAAAAGGTAGCCTGCAGTGCCAAACCTATTACCATCATTAGGGGAAAGAACGGTGATCCAATGTCCGACCCCCAAGAACAGGTTTGCAGATTTGCTTAACATTTCTGTGAGGTCCTGGGGGAGGGGGAATCCCTCAGCCTGGAAAACATCATGGGACAAAGTGGGGATGACCCTGCCGAGGCTGCGGTGCCTCAAATATTGGAGGAAGAAGTCACCCCCTGTGAGTGGCTGGCTGAGGTGCCATCTGTTGAAGTACTGAAGGCGATCCAGCGTCTGAGACCAGGAAAGGCACCGGGCAGAGATGATCTTCCAAGCGAAATGCTGAGGAAGGGTGGTGTTTGTGCGCAGACTGCCCTATATGACATCATAACAACAGTCTGGACCACTGGATGGGTTCCGCAGGATTGGAAGGATGCCCTGGTAGTCCCCCTTCTTAAAGAGGGGGACCGCACAGACTGTAACAACTACAGGGGCATCTCACTCCTCAGTATGTGGGAAAGGTCCTGGCAAGGATTAACATCGCCTTGCTAGGCACGCTGAGGAGAGGCTTGCGGAGCCCCAATGCGGTTTCAGGAAAGGGCGGTCCTGCACAGATGCCATATTTTCTGTCCGTCTGATACAGCAGAGGTGTAGGGAATTCCAACAAGACCTACATCTCTGCTTTATTGACCTGGTCAATGCCTATGATACCATCAGTAGGCCCGGGCTCTGGGTTGTTCTTCGTGCTTTCGGAGTCCCTGACCCTCTGCTCACGATCATTAAGGACCTTCATGATGGTGAGCGGGCCTGGGTAAAACTACGTGGCCAGGAGTCGGAGCCATTCCCTGTACACCTTGGGGTGCGATAGGGATGTCATCTGGCACCAACATTATTTAACATCTATTTCAACCACGTAGTTCATGAAGCCTTCAGGAGCTGTACCGGAGGAATTTCCATCTGGTACAGATACAATGGGAGGCTGATCGATGCCCGGGTGCGGTCAAGGGATGCCTCCCTATTGATCAACCACGTTATGTATGCCGACAACCTGGTAATTGTAGCCCACTCAGAGGAGGAGTTGGAGACGCTGCTGCTGAGACTGGAGCGTGCCACTAAGAGGTGGGGCCTTACCATCAGCCCCACCAAAACTAAGCACCTGCCTGGGTATTTTCTACCATCGGACACTCCACCCCCACAACTCCCAATCGGTGATGGGGCAGTTGTGGAGAGAGTGGAGAGTATCCCATACCTGGGCAGTGTGCTCATGACCGACTCCGGTTTAACAGCAGAGGTCTCACTCCGAATCAGTCGAGCGGCATTATCTTTTCATCGGTTGCGTAACGCTGTGTGGAAGCTACCTGGTCTATCACTCCGCACGAAGCTTCAGGTCTTCTCGGTCACAATCATTCCCTCCCTTCTCTACGCTTGGGAAACATGGACCCCCCCTAATGGAACATCTTTGCCGGTTAGAAACATTTAGGCTGGCCTGCCTACGATCAATCCTGGGTTTAACCAGGCTGGATTGTGTGAGGAGCTCACAAATCCTCGAAAGATCTGGACAAAGTCCCATCAGTGAGCACCTCCGGCAGGCAAGGCAGCATTGGCTGGACTATGTAGCCCGCATGCCAAATCACCGCATGCCCAAACAGCTTTTGTTCAGCCGGATTGAGGGGGCTAAACGGGCACGGCACGGGCTAGAGAAGAGATGGAGTGATGTGGTACAGGAGGACGTGGAGCTGAGTGGACTTGCCGATGACCGGTACCAGCGGTGTCAAGATCGGCCTCAGTGGAGGAGGCTCGTGAAGGACGCTACTGGGCAGTTGGAGGCAGTCGCCCTCCAACAACAACGGAGGGCGGAGGAGCGACGCTCACAACAACGAGCTGAGCGCCGGGTGGCTAAAGCACAGCAAGTTGGCACAGTAAGGGGCACAGGTGGTGCATCAGCCAGTCATCTCAGTCAGTCGACCCGTGGCACCTGGGTCTGCCCCGTGACCTCCTGCCAGCGGGCATTCGACACTTCACGTGGCCTCAAGGTGCACATGGCCTGGCACAAGCGTCGTGGTGACGTCACCGCCACTTAGTGGCGAATGGCGGTTGTGTTAGCGTGTGAGTCTGTTCAAGTTCAAGTTCATGTATTAGGTGTAGCCCTGTGAGCCATTCGGCTCTTGAATCGGGTGCAACCGCAACAAACAAAAAACATGAACAAAAAAACATCTTAAACTGAATATGTAACTAAGTGCAAACAGAAAATCCAAGAAAAGACAGCTAAATATTGCAGAAAAAACACCGTACACCAACGATGTGTGCAAAAATCCCAGTGGGTAGCAAGTCAAACAACAACAACTTGACCCAAACGCCTCGTCCAATGATAACGGGCCGACGTTTCGGGCCAACGCCCTTTCTCCAGGACGGCTCCCGAACGAGTCCGCGAATCGAACTCCGTCTCCGCTCCGCCGCTCCCTCGGCCCTGGACGTGGGGGAGGGGGCCGCTCTAGTGTCGTCACCCGCGGCCGAGCCGATGACGCTCGGGGACAAGCGCCGTCTCTGCGTTCTGCCGCTGCTGCTGCTGCTGCTGCTTATCTTCTACGGCCCGGGGCAGCCGCCGCCGCTCGCTCCGTGGGGGGCCGTGGAACCACCCGGTTCGTTAGGAGCCGGCGGCGGCGGCGGCGTTGGCGGTGATGATGTCGACTGTGAGGCCTCGGTGAGCGACGGGGAGGCTTGGCCACCGCCCGAGCTGTTGGCCTCCGTTCGGTGAGTGGCTGATTCGCTGTCTTACACCTCGGCCGGGACTGTGATTGACCCGCGACCAGACTGTGGTCAGACTGTGATTGACCTGCGACCAGACTGTGACCAGACTGTGATTGACCCGTGACCAGACTGTGACCAGACTATGATTGACCCACGACCGGACTGTGACCAGACTGTGATTGACCTGCGACCGGACTCTGATCAGACTGTGATTGACCTGCGACTGGACTGTGATCAGACTGTGATTGACCTGCGACTGGATTGTGATTGACCCGCGACCGGACTGTGATCAGACTGTGATTGACCTGCGACCGGACTCTGATCAGACTGTGATTGACCTGCGACTGGACTGTGAGCAGACTGTGATTGACCTGCGACTGGATTGTGATTGACCCGCGACCGGACTGTGATCAGACTGTGATTGACCTGCGACCGGACTCTGATCAGACTGTGATTGACCTGCGACTGGATTGTGATTGACCCGCGACCGGACTGTGATCAGACTGTGATTGGCCCGCGACTGGACTGTGATTGGACTGGACATCAGATCGTGATCGGGCCACGGCCGACCTGCACACAACCTGCCTGAACCGACTCACCGAACGCGGTCGCCCCCCCCCCGCACCTCCTGGTACGAACAGACGATCCGGCCAAGCGGAGCGGCTCCTGGTGGCCTGGACGCGCGACTGCTCCGCCTTCAGACGTGCGCGGCGCTACGCTGACGCCCCTCTGAGCCACGAGGAGGCGGCCTTCCCCATCGCCTACTCCGTCGTTGTCCACCACCGCGTGGACATGCTGGAGAGGCTGCTGCGTGCCGTCTACGCGCCGCAGAACTTCTACTGCCTCCACGTGGACGCCAAGTCCCCCCGCGCCTACCTGGAGGCGGTGCGCGCCCTCGCCGCCTGCTTCCCCAACGTGTTCGTGGCCCGCCGGCTGGAGGTGGTGGTTTACGCCTCGTGGTCGCGCGTACAGGCCGACCTCAACTGCATGCGCGAGCTGGTGGAGCGAGCCGGCGAGCGCCCCTGGAGGTACTTCATCAACCTCTGCGGCCTCGACTTCCCCATCAAGACCAACCTGGAGATCGTGCGGGCGCTGGGCGGCTTGCACGGCGCTAACAGCGTGGAGTCGACGCGCCCCAGCCGGTTCAAGGCGGCGCGCTGGCGGACGCGTCACGCCGTCGTGTGGAACCGCGTCTTCGACCTACGCCTCGCCAAGGCCCCACCGCCCATCGCCACGCCGGTGTTCGCCGGCGGGGCCTACGTCGCCGTGACGCGGGCCTTCGTGGAGCACGTGCTGAGCGACCCGGCGGCCCGGGCCTTCGCCGAGTGGTCGAAGGACACCTACAGCCCGGACGAGCACCTGTGGGCCACGCTCCAGCGGATGCCCGGGGTGCCCGGAGCGACGCCCGTCGACCAGAAGTACGACGTGACGGACGTGCAGGCGCTGACTCACCTGGTCAGGTGGCAGTCGATGGAGGGGGACGTCCTGCAAGGAGCTGCCTACCCGCCTTGCAGGTGAGGGTCAGGGTTGGTCAAGACTAACATTAGCACTAGCCCCCTGCCATAGCCTAACCCTACACTAACCCTGCCCTAACCTTAACCATAACCTGCCTACCCGCCTTGCAGGTGAGGGTCAGGGTTGGTCAAGACTAACACTAGCACTAGCCCCCTGCCATAGCCGAACCTTAACCCTACCCTAACCTTGACCCTACCCTAACCTTGACCCTAGCCCTACCCTAACCCTACCCTAACCTTAACCCTACCCTAACTCTACTCTAACCCTAACCCTACCCTAACCCTAACCCTACACTAACCTTGACCCTAGCCCTACCTTAACCCTACCCTAACCTTACCCTAACCTTACCCTAACCTTAACCCTCCCCTAACCTTAATCCTACACTAACCCTAACCATACCCTAACCCTACTCGAACTCTACTCTAACCCTAGCCCTACCCTAACCTTACCCTAACCCTACCCTAACCTTAACCCTAACCTAACTCTACTCTAACCCTACCCTAACCTCACCCTAACCTTAACCCTACACTAACCCGAACTCTACCTTAACCGTATCCTAACCCTACACTAACTCTACTCTAACCCACCCCTACCCTAGTGTGGGGTAGTGGGGAGCTCTCCGCCTCCGACCATAACAACGTCAACTACAGGAAACCCCTACGCGGTTTAACCCCCCTTACCCCCCCTGCCCCCCCCTGCCCCCCCTGCCCCCCCTGCCCCCCCCTGCCCCCCCCAATAGGGGCGTGCACGTGCGCGGGATCTGCATCAACGCGGCGGGCGACGTGCCGTGGGTGCTGCGCCAGCCGCAGCTGTTCGTCAACAAGGTGGACGCGTCGCTGGACCAGGGGGCGGCCGTGCGCTGCCTCGAGCGGAGCCTCCGGCGGAGGGAGCTCGCGCAGACGCAGCGGCGCGGGGCGACGGAGTAGGCCTGTCTATGCCCGTATATGGACTTAAGTGGGCGTGTCTATGCCCATATATGGACTTAAGTGCGTGTGTCTATGCCCATATATGGACTTAAGTGCGTGTGTCTATGCCCATATAAGGAAGTGGGTGTGGTGTTGCCATATATGGAGGTTGGTGTCTATGCCCATATATGGACTTAAGTGGGTGTGGTGTTGCCCGTATATGGACTAAAGTGGGCGTGGCATTGCCCATATATGGAAGTGGGTGGGGGCAGTGCCCATATATGGAAGTGAGCGTGTCTATGCCCGTATATGGAAGTGGGTGTGTCTATGCCCATATATGGAAGTGGGTGTGTCTATGTCCATATATGGAAGTGGGTGTGTCTATGCCCATATATGGACTAAAGTGGGTGTGTCTATGCCCATATATGGACTAAAGTGGGTGTGGCGTTACCCGTATATGGAAGTGGGTGTGTCTATGCCCATATATGGAAGTGGGTGTGTCTATGCCCATATATTTGTACGCTGCTATAATTGTCAACGACGACGACGACGATGATGATGATGCGTCGCTTCGTTGAGTTGCTATAATTTGTGAGAGAGAGAGAGCTACATAGCCCGCTGTGCCTTAGCTGCTGAAATAAACCAAAGATTTGTTGATGTAAAATTTCGATTTAATGTTTTATTTTTATTTTATTTTATTATTTTATTACTTCCCTTCTACGTGACGACTTTACCGAAAGAACCAAGAAGATGAATCCCTGCAGTCACGAAAGCTTTTAATCGAAATACAATCACTCTACCCTACCTTTACCCCTTCAGCAGGTAAGGTAAAAGCTCAAAAGCAACGAGCCTACCTTTTACCCGACCCTTTACCTTACCCCCTGGCATGTCGACACCTTTACCCGGTAAAAAGGGTAAATTACCTTCCCTTGCCGAGGCCTGCTTCCCAGTGTGAGCGTTGGTAGAGTGGGAGGGTAGGGGAGCGACGCTCACAATGAACAGGGCGGATAAAACACAGCAAGTTGGCACAGTAGGGGGGTACAGCTGGTGGTGCATCTACCGCTCATCTCAGTCAGTCGACCCATGGCACCTGCTGGGTCTGTCCCGTGACCTCCTGCACCTAGCCTGGCACAACAGGGGGTACAGCTGATGGTGCATCTACCGGTCATCTCAGTCGACCCATGGCACCTGCTGGGTTTGTTCCGTGACCTTCCTGCACCTAGCCTGGCACAGTAGGGGGGTACAGCTGGTGGTGCATCTACTGGTCATCTCAGTCAGCCAACCCCATGGCACCTGCTGGGTCTTGTTCTCAGACCTGCACCTAGCCTGGCACAGTAGGGGGGGTACAGCTGGTGGTGCATCTACCGCTCATCTCAGTCAGTCGACCCATGGCACCTGCGGGGTCTGGTCCCGTGACCTCCTGCACCTAGCCTGGCACAGTATGGGGTACAGCTGGTGGTGCATCTACCGCTCATCTCAGTCAGCCAAGGTGCACCTGGCCTGGCACAGGCGACGTGACGCCACTCAGTGGCGAGCGAGTGGATGTGAGTGTGAGGACCGGTGGTGCAGCGGTTAGCGCGCTCAACGCCAGCGATGATCCGAAGCGGTTATGGGCCTCCCCTAGGTCGTGGCAGCCTTAAATGAGTACTGGGTGTGAACATCACCACTAGTGAGACAAAGATGGCCGGGCGTGGTGCGGGCCGCCCACCCTCTCGTGGCAGGACCCTCCTGAAAAGGAGTCTTGAGGACTCAACGACGTCACCATCACAACCCCGCACATCCGATGAGCGCCGTTGGCTCCGTGTGGCGCGAAATAAGTTGAACGCAGGTTCAGGCAGGCGCGATCATCCGGACCCAAGGCCACTTTAATTTGTGAAAGATGAAATTAAATTAATAAAATTTACATTAAATAGCTGGCAACGTTTACAGCGAGAAATCGGAGTGGCAGCCGCATCACGTCATCATCATCATCTACATGGTCAACATCAACATCATCATCTACATCGTCATCATCATCATCTACATGGTCAACATCAACATCATCATCTACATCGTCAACATCATCATCTACATGGTCAACATCAACATCATCATCTACATCGTCATCATCATCATCTACATCGTCAACATCAACATCATCATCGACATAATCAACATCAACGTCGTCGTCGTCGTCACACCGATCGACGCAGCAGCAGCAGTATCAGAGACGGTGGTGGTGGTGGTAGACGTGGCGCTGGTGGTTGTGGATTTGGTGGTGGTGATTGTGTGTCGGTGGTGGTAGTGATGGTGGTTGTGGTCGTGTCGGTGGTGGTAGTGATGGTGGTTGTGGTCGTGTCGGTGGTGGTAGTGATGGTGGTTGTAGTGACGGTGGTTGTGGTGGTAGTCATGGTGCTTGTGGTGGTAGTGACGGTGGTGGTAGTGATGGTGGTTGTGGTGGTAGTGATGGTGCTTGTGGTGGTAGTGACGGTGGTGGTAGTGACGGTGATTGTGGTGGTAGTGATGGTGATGGTAGTGATGGTGATAGTGATGGTGGTAGTGACGGTGGTGGTAGTGCTTGCGGTGGTAGTGTCGGTGCATGTGGTGCTTGTGTTGCTTGCGCCGCTGTCGCCGCGCTCATCCTCGGTGGCGCAGGGCGTTCCGCAGGTCGCGGTAGAAGCCGGCGAGCGCCGACGCCATCGCGGCGTCCACCAGGGCACGCGGCAGGAGGCCTCGCAGGTCGGTGTGCACGTAGCCAGTCAGCTCGCAGACGGTGCCACCACCACCACCGCCACCACCGTCACCACCACCGCCACCACCGCCACCACCGCCGCCACCACCACCGCCACCACCGCCATCACTGCCACCGCCACCGCCACCACCGCCACCGCCGCCACCGCCACCACCACCACCATCACCGCCACCACCGCCATCACCACCACCACCGCCACCACCATCACCGGCACCGCAGCAGAACCAGCCGCACGGGTGGTTGAAGCCGCGCACGAGCCTCCGCTTTGGCGACTGCGTCGAGGGGAGATCGACGCTGACGCCTGGCACCCCGAGTCAGGGGGGGGGGGGGATGGGGGTAGGAAGGGAGATTTGCGTTGTCAGATTTGCATGTCCGGTTGGCATCACGAATTGGCATGTTGGTTATTCGTGTGTGAATTAGCGTATGTGATTTGCACGCACCGCTTTGCATGTTGGGTTTGCGGAGATGTGCTGGTGGTGTTGATGGTGATTGTGGTGGTAATTGTGGTGTTGGTGGCGGTGTTGATTGTGGTGTTGGTGGCGGTGTTGATTGTGGTGTTGGTGGTGATTGTGGTGGTGATTGTGGTGGTGGTGGTGGCGGTGGTGATGCTGGTGGTGTTGTTGGTATTCGTGGTGATGGTATTGATGGTGTCGATGGTGGTGATGGTATTGGTGGTGTCGGTGGTGATTGTGGTGTTGGTGGCGGTGTTGGTGGTGATTGTGGTGGGGGTGTCGGTGGTGGTGGTGTCGGTGGTGATGGTGTTGTTGGTGATCCAGCAAAAAAAACTCCTGGTTGGAGCCGGAGGGTAACCCTGAGGTGGATCTGATCAATGCCATGGGGGAAATGGCCAATCCAAATTCGCTTGTAGCCACCACCGCGATCAATGGAGGCTCTGGATGGGTGCGAGGCGCTGGTAAACCCATCCACCGTTACTTCAAGTACCACAAAAACACGTGTTGAAAATCTAACTAAGCGTGTGCCGGAGACCCCGGGAGGGGACAGGCGTCTATGACGTCTCCTGGCCAAACCCCATTTTTGGCGGAGCCAGCAGATTGAATCTTTACCCTCAGGGCTCCTCCAGAAATAACAAAAAGCCACTACGGATGGCCACGTGGAATGTTCGAATGCTAACTACGGAGGAGAGGCTGCCACTCCTCTGTCGGGAGCTGGACCGGTACCGCCTGGATCTCTGTGGTATTCAGGAGGTCCGGTGGACCGGCTTTGGCTCCTGCCACCATGAGGGGTGGACAGTCCTCTACTCGGGGCAGGAGACTGCCATACAACAAGCTACCTGGTCTGTCGCTCCACACGAAGCTTCAGGTCTTCTCTGCCACAGTCATTCCCTCCCTTCTCTACGCTTGCGAAACATGGACTCCCCTAATGGAACATCTTCGCCGGTTAGAAACATTCAGGCTGGCCTGCCTACGATCCATCCTGGGTTTCACCTGCAGGCTGGATTGTGTGAGGAGCTCACAAATCCTTTAAAGATCTGGACAAAGTCCCATCGGTGAGCTCCTCCGGCAGGCAAGGCTGCGTTGGGTCATGTAGCCCGCATGCCCAGCCACCGCATGCCTAAACAGCTTTTGTTCGGCCGGATCGAGGGGGCTAAACGGGCGCGGCACGGCCTAGAGAAGAGATGGAGTGATGTGGTACAGGAGGACGTGGAGCTGAGTGGACTTGCCGATGACTGGTACCAGCGGTGTCAAGATCGGCCTCAGTGGAGGAGGCTCGTGAAGGACGCTACTGGGCAGTTGGAGGCAGTCGCCCTCCAACAACAACGGAGGGCGGAGGAGCGACGCTCACAACAACGAGCGGAGCGCCGGGTGGCTAAAGCACAGCAAGTTGGTACAGTAGGGGGCACAGGTGCTGCATCAGCCACTCATCTCAGGCAACCCATGACACCTGCAGGGTCTGTCCCCTTATCTCCTGCTAGCGGGCGTTCGACATTTCACGTAGCCTTAAAGTGCACCTAGCCTGGCACGAGCGCCGTGGTGATATCACCTCTACGTTGTGGCAAATGACGGTTGTTGTTGTTGTTGGCGGTGGTGGTCGTAGTGGTGTTGATGGTCGTGTTGTTGATGGTGGTGTGATGATGGCGGTGGTGGTGTTGTTGATGTTGGTGGTGGTCGTGGTGCTGTTGATGGCGGTGGTGGTCGTGGTGGTGTTGGTGGTGGTGTTGGTGGTGGTGTTGTTGATGGTGGTGTGATGTTGGTGGTGTGATGTTGGTAGTGGTGGTGCTGTTGATGGTGGGGGTGGTCGTGGTGGTGTTGGTGGTGGTGTTGTTGATGGTGGTGTTGATGGTGGTGTTGGTGGTAGTGGTGGTGCTGTTGATGGCGGTGGTGGTCGTGTTGGTGTTGGTGGTGGTGTTGATGGTGTTGTTGGTGGTGTTGGTGGTTCTGGTGTTGATGGTGCCAGCGCTGGGCATACCACAGGTGAGTAAGCCATGACTCCTGTTGAGTGGCGTGTGTGAGAGGTCCACGAACTCGCGCGGGGCGATGGTGTTCCATAGTTGGCCGGCCGTCGTGTAGCGTGCGATGCAAGTGTCCTGCGGTCATCAGCATCAACATCATCAACATCATCAACATCATCAACATCAACATCATCAACATGAACATCAACGTCATCAACATCATCGTCATCAACATCATCAACATCATCAACATCATCAACATGAACATCAACGTCATCAACATCATCGTCATCAACATCATCAACATCAACATCAACGTCGTCATCAACGTCATCGTCGTCAACATCGTGATCAGCATCATCATCATCCTCATTGTCAACATCGTCAACATCGTCATCAGCATCGTTATTCTGTTCCGCAGCAGAAACTCTATTAAGGAGCTTCATGCCAATGTGGAAGTCTCTGTGTGAGTCTGTGGGTCTCTGTGTGGTGAGTCTGTGGGTCTCTGTGTGGTGAGTCTGTGGGTCTCTGTGTGGTGAGTCTGTGGGTTTCTATGTGGTGAGTCTGTGGGTCTCTATGTGGTGAGTGTGTGGGTCTCTGTGTGGTGAGTCTGTGGGTCTCTGTGTGGTGAGTCTGTGGGTCTCTGTGTGGTGAGTCTGTGGGTCTCTGTGTGAGTCTGTGGGTCTCTGTGTGGTGAGTCTGTGGGTCTCTGTGTGGTGAGTCTGTGGGTGACTGTGTGGGTCTCTGTGTGGTGAGTCTGTGGGTATCTGTGTGGTGAGTATGTGGGTCTCTGTGTGGTGAGTGTGTGGGTCTCTGTGTGAGTCTGTGGGTCTCTGTGTGGTGAGTGTGTGGGTCTCTGTGTGGTGAGTGTGTGGGTCTCTATGTGGTGAGTGTGTGGGTCTCTGTGTGGTGAGTCTGTGGGTCTCTGTGTGAGTCTATGGGTCTCTGTGTGGTGAGTCTATGGGTTTCTATGTGAGTCTATGGGTCTCTGTATGAGTCTGTGGGTCTCTGTGTGAGTCTGTGGGTCTCTATGTGAGTCTATGGGTCTCTGTGTGAGTCTATGGGTCTTTGTGTGATGAATCTATGGGTCTCTGTGAGTCTATGGGTCTCTGTGTGAGTCTCTATGTGAGTCTCTCACCGGGCCCGCGCCCTCCGTGACCTCCATGTCCGTGACGATGCTGTCCCAGCGTCTCTGTGTGAGTCTGTGGGTCTCTGTGTGAGTCTGTGGGTCTCTGTGTGAGTCTACGGGTCTCTGTGTGAGTCTACGGGTCTCTGTGTGAGTCTACGGGTCTCTGTGTGGTGAGTCTGTGGGTCTCTGTGTGAGTCTATGGGTCTCTGTGTGAGTCTACGGGTCTCTGTGTGAGTCTACGGGTCTCTGTGTGAGTCTATGGGTCTCTGTGTGAGTCTGTGGGTCTCTGTGTGAGTCTATGGGTCTCTGTGTGAGTCTCTGTGTGGTGAGTCTGTGGGTCTCTGTGTGAGTCTATGGGTCTCTGTGTGAGTCTACGGGTCTCTGTGTGAGTCTATGGGTCTCTGTGTGAGTCTGTGGGTCTCTGTGTACTGAGTCTACGGGTCTCTGTGTGAGTCTACGGGTCTCTGTGTGAGTCTATGGGTCTCTGTGTGAGTCTATGGGTCTCTATGTGAGTCTATGTGTGGGTCTCTGTGTGGGTCTCTGTGTGAGTGAGTCTATGGGTCTCTGTGTGAGTCTATGGGTCTCTGTGTGGGTCTCTGTGTGAGTCTCTCACCGGGCCCGCGACCTCCGTGACCTCCATGTCCGTCACGATGCTGTCCCAGCGCCGGCGCAGATCCCCGGGACGGATCATCTCGACGACGGCAGACGGCGCCGCCGGTACCCGGCCCAGCGTCTTGTAGCTGCGCACAGGCAAAGACCCCCCAGGTAGCCTCGGCTTCTTCAACGCACCGTCGGGGCAAAGTGCTGTGAGTAGCGAGTGGTAGCGGTGGGTGGGTGGGTGAGTGGGTGAGTGGGTGGGTGGGAGGGTGGGTCGGTGACTGGGTGGGTGGGTGGGCGAGTGGGTGAGTGGGTGGGTGAGTGGGTGAGTGGGTGGGTGAGTGGGTGAGTGGGTGGGTGGGTGAGTGGGTGGGTGGGCGAGTGGGTGAGTGGGTGGGTGGGCGAGTGGGTGAGTGGGTGAGAGGGTGGGTCGGTGACTGGGTGGGTGGGCGAGTGGGTGAGTGGGTGGGTGAGTGGGTGAGTGGGTGGGTGAGTGGGTGGGTGGGTGAGTGGGTGGGTGGGTGGGCGAGTGGGTGAGTGGGTGGGTGAGTGGGTGAGTGGGTGGGTGAGTGGGTGAGTGGGTGGGTGGTGAGTGGGTGAGTGGGTGGGTGAGTGGGTGAGTGGGTGAGTGGGTGGGTGGGAGGGTGGGTGAGTGGGTGAGTGGGTGGGTGAGTGGGTGAGTGGGTGGGTGAGTGGTGGGTGAGTGGGTGAGTGGGTGGGTGGGTGAGTGGGTGGGCGAGTGGGTGAGCGGGTGGGTGAGTGGGTGAGTGGGTGGGTGAGTGGGTGAGTGGGTGGGTGGGTGGGTGGGTGGGTGAGTGGGTGAGTGAGTGGGTGGGTGAGTGGGTGGGTGAGTGGGTGAGTGGGTGGGTGGGAGGGTGGGCGAGTGGGTGAGTGGGTGGGTGAGTGGGTGAGTGGGTGGGTGAGTGGGTGAGTGGGTGGGTGGGTGGGTGAGTGGGTGGGTGGGTGGGTGGGTGAGTGGGTGGGTGGGT